ACCGCTAGGAATTTTACCCTGATGCTGTTAAAGATGCATCGAGTATTGCTGGGCCTGGCGCAAAGTACACATAACGTTGTGTAATGTACTATATTCAGCCGTTTCGCGCGTGATATTACGAAACGGTTCTGCTAAACTAGTTCTGGGTTAAAAAGTATTTTCTTTAATTTACTAAAAAGTTCACGTATGAATTCCGCAAATGGATATACTATATTTATATCGACTTTTGAAGCTACCTCGCATATTTTGAAACAGGTATTTTCTTAACCGACAAAATTGAATATTAAATTACACTCTTGTTTTCTTATTTTTATAGAAGAATTCCGTCTCGATAATAACAGCGAGCTATTATATGCTTCAAGATAAATTTATTCTTCCTATAACTTGTCTCGCGGAACGTTTCAGTACACTTCATTAAAAGGAAATTAAATGCTCACCTCTGAAAGAACCAGCGAGAAGCGAAGAAAGATCCACGACACATAATTCATTCTTTTTCTTGAAAGCTCTCTTATTCTTCGCTTTCGGCGGAATATCGACACAGCAAGCATTTGAGGACGGTACCGGTGTGGTGAAATTTAATTAACTGACAAGGGGATGACACGCGGTTCCCCTCGCCGATTTAAGCGATGATTTTTCAATGTGTAGTCTTCGATGAGGAAGAGATTTTGTAAAAGTATGAGCGCGCGCTTTTCACGCATTCGTCCAAAAAAAAATGTTAAAAGTTTTCCAACAAGCGGTGTACGACGCTTCTATACTTTCACAAAATCTCTTCCTCATCAAGGACACATAGAAAAATCACCGTTTAAATCGGCGAGGGGCACCGCATGATTTCCCTCATTAGTCAAGTCGACGGTTGACACGCAGTTCATTAATTAAAATTACACAATTTAACTGATTGCACCATACGTAATCCGATGGTCAGTGTCTTCGATTTTTATCGTGTCCAATGGTTACCAAGTCGTATTGTGTCGGAATCAAGGATATGTGAAAATCACGATAATATTCTTCAAAGTGTTTTTACATTTTCTAATATAGAATTTTCGTGTGAAATCAATTAATGGATGCGCGATGCGATAAGATAGAATTTTACATGATCACGAACGCAGATTATAACTTTACACTTAATTTCGATTATGTGGGTTAAACGAATTCTTCATAAGCATAGTTTGTTACTTCTATCCGGAGGTAATGGAGAGTGTTTGTGCAAAATAATCGTGTATTGTGTACATTGTTTGCTGGCGCATTAATTCTTATTGAATCTTAATTTACACTAGTCGAACAGTCGTCTTTCCATTTATCGTCAAAAATTGAAAGAGGATTGTAACAAACTAATTACTCTATTTTCTGTTAATTATTCAGAGTTTTCTAACCCAGGTTATTATTAGAGATACCACTAATTTCAACTTTAGTAAGCCGTTGCGCGAGCCACAGTCACAACTTCAAAAAATTCGACTGTGCAATCCGATTTAACGATTAAACAAAAATACGTTGCGGTGCATTGGTATTAGAAATATATGAGAACTTTATATTACGTGGATTAGCCCAGTTTCCGAAAATCTCTGTCGTGATTTTATTGTTTCATCCGCATTTCAGAGAAAAAAATTTGTTAATTTTAGTTACTCGTTAACAATTCTTACTCTTCAATTCAGTTTTTAAAACTAATAAAGTAAAATGTAAGGAAGAAAACGATTTTGCAATTTATAGACGCAATTTCAAACACTAGTTTAAATAACGAATGATATTTTGTTATTCTTAAAATTCGCTTTGATTTATGGAAGGATACATAGAGTATTCTATTCCCTTGTGTACCTTGGACAAGAATATTCTAGCCGTAACAAATGTAAGAAACCCATTTGGATTATATTACGACTTAAAACTCATAACACATTGCGCCGCACTAGAGATGAACGTAGCCATTTCTCTGCTGACGAATACATACATATATATTTATATGTACCACGACCGGTAGCAACGACTCTTCTACGGTACGGTAAAAACATTTAGTTAGCGTTGACAAACAGTTGGCGAAACGGATACAACGAAAGTCCGCTTTTGTACAGTCCTGGTGAAAAGTATAAAATATATTTTTAGTAAATTTTAATATGTATATTAATTTTTTTATACTTAAAAGATTTAATAAATTATAAATAAATATATGTATATATATATTTTTTTTAAATATACACATTTAATTAGACTGCGTTTAAAGTAAAAGTAAACAATAAATTTTATGCTGAATGATTAATAATAATAAAATTTGTTAAATAACAAAGTACATAAAAAATTGAAAGTTTTTAACTTCTGAAACTAGAAAATGCTAAGTTGAGGTTAAAAGCGCAGTAAACTCTTGTACTAAAAATTATACATGTAATAAATATCTAAATGTACTTAATATCAAGGTTTGAAAAACTGGGCTCTGCGTTTCGCTTTCTTTAATAGACATGTGTTAAATGACTGATGTCTGTTCCTCGCAATTCACTCGAGTTACTTTATGCTTTTGGGCGCGGCTGTATTTAGGCGAAAAGCGTGGCCGAAAAATTGTTGTATCCATACCGTGAAACGCCGCCTCCCGTCGTGTATCGAAACTTTTCGTCGTTATGCACGCTCAATGTCACCGCGGCGATAAATTGTGCCTCGAGTGCGACGCAAAGGTACAGCGCGAGCGGCGTAACTCACGCGCCATTTCTCCGCGACGATTCGACCGGCGACATACCACACAGTCGGATCTAGTTCATGAATAGTTTTATATTTGCTATGAATAAATTCATGAGGGAGGACTGCACGCGCGTTTGTAACTGGGAAGCGCCGAGAAATCAAAATCCCATCGGTTTTATTATCTCGATTGATATATATGTATAAATCGGATTTTTGCTTTGAAGACTTTATTTTGGTACACTGTAATGTATATTACGAATTTTACCTGTATGGAGCATAAGATATAAGCGTTTGTAATGTAGATCTCGCATCGTAAATAATTTTTTAGTATGGTGGAATTCTGAAGTGCAGCAAGCTGAAAGTTTAAAATTGTACAAATCAATTATTAAACACACGTCTATATTCTGTTTTATTTTAATAGACTGAAGAAAAGATATTATCTAATACAAAATTAATTTGTCCTTGACGTTTTAATATTTTGCAACAAGTGCACTGTTTACTGGAATAAATATTCCGTAAATGATCATGTATTATATTTATTAATTATTTTTTTACGTTCATTTTTTTATTTACGTGAAATTTATGGAATTACGTGAAAATCAATTATATTTTTTATTTACGTGAGTTTAACATAATTATGTAGCTGGCGCGTATAAACAAATTGCAAACGTTGCAGAAGAGGAAGCTGAACGTTATTCTATTTTAGTGTTATTCTACTTTACATACATTGCTGTAGGGATGATATTTTTATCATTAATACAGTAAGGGCTGAATACCATAAGGACTGAAGGGAGTCTGTAAATATAAATAGAAATATATATTTTTAAAGTACTTGTTATATTTATATACTACAATATTTTATACGTAACAGTGGAAAGCTATGCGGTCACCATCGATCTCTCCGTGTGTGCAGTTTCTCGCATCATTTGTCTTCATTATTTGCGTCTGCTTGTCCACCGTTTTATTTCGTCGTAAAGTCTCTTCGAAAAATCGTGGCAACATTCGTGAAAATTACTCCATTACGTAGCAAACAAGACAATTCAGATACTGTCCTGTGTTTACCCTTTTACAACAATATTTAATCTCCCTAGAACAACTTTGATAATACACATATATGTATTATATAATTTACAAAGTTTTAAAAATACGTAATATTTATTACTGCCACACTCTTCCAGAGTTTTAATTTAACAATTATAAATGTTATTTAAGCAAAATTACAATTTAAATTCGTAGTTAAAAATTTTCTGGTTAAAAGAAGTTGTAAATAGTTATAACAGATAAAACTAAAGTTTCATTCTCTTTTTACACATTTTTATACAAATAGGGTAAATAATATATTTATTTTTTCAACAGAAACTCCTGATACATACGAAAGAGTATGCTGTTTGGCTGACGTGAAAACAGGGATGTATTTGATGAAAAACGCAGTGTTGCAATAATTAGGTAAGTTGATTCCACGTGGAAGAAACAAACTCTGAAAATATTATTGATACGGGATGTGGAACAGAATGTAATAACGCTCCATATCGAAAGAGAGAACGAAATTGTAACAAAAGACAATCGCAAGATAATATAGTAGAAAGCGCAAGAATTTAAATTAACCTTACAATATTTCTTTAAATTATAAAGATGTGTCTAAAATACCAAATGTTAAAACTTCAATTTTTTTCATTTTCTCTTTAAGCAGAATATTAAAAAGAGCATAAATTTACGTGCGCTTGATAAATGCAAACATAATAAATTCTGTGTGAATATGTACGACACAGAAAATATGGTGATAAAATCTGTACTTGGCGGATCCACTGAGAGAATTATCGGATAATACGGTTTTTCATCTTTCACATAATTACGTGGCTTTATGTATGGCATTATTGTGCTTATGCGGCGAGATAAAAATATAAACTGCGGAAAAAAATTGTAATATAAAGCTGCGAGTGAAGTTTAGTAACGGCGGGGAAAAATTGTGTCCTCAATTCTTAATATGGGTACAGGACGCGACAAATTTTATATCTGGCTTTCTCGAATTGAGTTTTTCAGATTAGTTATGAGATAAAGCGAAACGAACGATGAACTGGTATTTTACATAAAAAATTTAAGAATTGGAGCGAGAAAGAAGTCGATAAGAGGAACAACTCGCGGACTGCACAAAACACGGTCGTGTCTCAATTATCGTGAACACGTAGATAACAATGATTTTCGAGAGCAAGTAGTACAACTAAAAGCGAATCCTTTCTTACCGATTTCCTCTCGCACAAAGTTGACTCACCTTAAAAGCTTGCTAAAAGCCTCGTGATACATCTCGTTCGGATCAGGTGAAGGAAATTAGGGCAGAAAATGGGCAGTTTATTTTAAAAGTACTATATTCATCATTCCTCTCGTGTGTATCTTCTTGGTATTCGTATTGTAGAGAGTTTATATACAAATGTGTACACTCTGTACATTCTGTTCTACACGTTAAACGTTAACACGTGATCTGTACATAAATTTCGGATTACTCGATTAGGTCTTGATTTGCTTCCAAACTGCACTGTGAACACAGTTCTCTCGATCATAAGTGATTTTCACGCATGCTCTCGATCAATTTAATTTAATTGACTAATTTAATTAGCGATCTGGTCGTGGATACAGAAGTCTGCGCACGCACGGTCGCATTCTTTTATTTCTTTTGGTGTGTGTACACATTCTGCGTGAGGACAGAATCAAATGTCGAAATGGCACGAAGGGGACACGCGAAGGTAAATCATACTCAATGAAATATATCGTTTAGTCGTAATACTGTTGCATCGGATATGTACGATTATATATATATATGTATACAAGTCACATATGTTTTTCTTGTTAGGACTCGAGCTTTTTTCCCCTCGTCGTCCGAAGAGGTTTTAGCTTGTTCAGATCAGATTTCGTCGTAATACACACAAGTATATACAATTATTTCTATACCTTTCCTATTAGTAGTAATAACATTAGTAACAATAACGACACATATTATTTTCTAAATTAAAAGAACGTGGATTTTTCATGAATAGAGAAGCGTCTTTTAGAAAACTCATTAACAAATAAACTACTCAGCAAGAGTTTAGAACAAAAAGTTAATAATATTACACCGTCTTTTAAAAGTACACAACTGGAAAAAAATTTTTAATATAAATAGTGGGTTAATTTATAAATAAATAAGCATAATAAGGAACATATCGGATGAATAAGTATTAAGGGTAGTAGATAGGGGACGATCGATAGATATTGAGTGAGACAGTAATACAGGAAGTATTTTTAAGTTTGTAACTTGACGAAGAAACGGGGGAGAGATTTTGAGAAGGTAACTGAAAGTAAAATCCATATATTTTCTGACGGAAAGCTTAAAGTATCACTGTCAAAATAAATAATGCCCTATGCTTCGCAGCGAGTAACTTATTATTATTCATTATACACTATTCAGCTAAATTGTAAATTAGACAGAAAAGCGGCATATGTAACATTGCTTTCAACATTTACAAGGAATTAACCATATACAAGAATTAATGGCGGCCCGTCCAGCTGCAGAGTCGCTGGGTGATCTAATGGTTCGCACACAGAGCTTAAAGCGGAAGCTGTGCAGCCGTCGCGTGCATGCTCGCGCTATCATGCTTGGGTGACTATCAGACCGCGTGTGATTTCAGACGTCCCCGGCGGCACTCGTAAAATAGACGCAAGGCCGCCGTTTGTCCGATATTCAACTCACATCCCGGGGTGCTGATGAAAATAAGTACCGCGTTCGTGGATCGTGAGCAGCTGCGCGTGCCGGCCGATCGGAGATACAAATTTGACGCGATCGGGCGTGGCGTGGCGTGCGTGCATGCACATATACGCAAATTGGTCAAATATCCACGTGGATGTGTGAAATAACGTGCGTACGTGTGTGTGTATTACGAATTATAAATGCATCTCTTCAACTACCTGCTGACCGAGCGCGCGCAAACCCGCACGTTTCCGTAGAAATCTCACCACATGTAAAAATAGTTCGCCTAATATTATCGTCGCGCACGCGTCTGCACATCATTGCAGATCCCCCCCCTCTCTCTCTCTCTCTCTCTCTCTCACTCTCTCTCTCTCTCATTCTCTCTTGACGCCGATCAATGCCAGTCGCATTCCGCGGGGATATCGTTAAACGATACCGAGAAGCAAAACTCGGATTTGCATTTTCTATCTAGAGTCGCATTTCAGTCGGCACATTTTAGGATTAAATGCGGAACGTGAACACACGCCTAAAATCGAATGTTAGAACATCGCGTTTTACCTCCCACCTTAATCCTTTGTTTGATCCACAGCTGCGATAGATTCGCAGGAAGAATTATCGGAAACGTCTTCCGGCACGCTACACGCAGCGTTGCTAAAGAAGAAGTATCGTTTCACGAAGCACACGGTTAGACTTATACGTGATGGGAATACGTTGGATATCAGAGAAACACAATGTTCTGCGAATCCAGTGGCCTTATCCAGGGATATACGGTTTGAATTTCTTCCTCAAATTCGCACTGAATCGATAACTCGCGAGGTGCCTGTTCGATCAAAATAATTAGCCGTTTCTTCTTTTTTTCACGCACGAGGGAAACCCCACGAATCACTTTAATTCGCGTTTTTCCTTGCGACTAAGTGGAGAAGACCGCAGGCCATCGTGGAGGTTTGTTTTTCTCATCGGTTAACGAGTGATTAATAGCCCTCGATTCCCGCCTCTGTTCCCAGGCGGTGCTACGTGTAAGAACGAATGAAGTTCCGTTCCCGATATGTTACGTTCCATTAAGCCCGCGAGATTTCGCAGAAATCAATAATCAGCATCGATAGAGCGCGTTTTCTTATCTCACGCTGCCCCATTACGGGCTCGCGAAAATTATTCGAACATTCGGAAGAATTTCTGTCACGGCACGATACAATTTTCATCTTTCCCCGGCAGAATTTTTATTCTAATGAAAATAAAAGTCACATCGGTCCAGAACATTTCACGAGACTTTGGTTTGATATAATTTAAGGGAAATGTTCGAAATGAAAAAGAAAACTCGTTTCACTCTATAACCCAGATAAATTTTTTTCATCGCAAGATTAATTACACTGGTGCAATATTACTCCGCATTGCAGTTTTTAGATATAATGTTAAACCAAAGTCGTTACGTGTACACTGCTAAAAGAAAGATTATGAAAAAGATATTAGAATAATATATTAATGCAAATATGTAAATACAAATAAATACTATTAAATGTACTTTATACACAAGTGCGAGTTCAAAAGCAAAAGAATCCTTTCATCTTCACTCGGAATCGACGGCGCGTTTCTCTCCTTTTTCCTTCATTTTTTTTCTGTATATAAGTATACCGCGAATACTTCAAACGACTCGATTTAATCGCGCTTAAGTACTGACCCGGAGTCTAAGGTCCAGATTTTTTTTTGTCGTTCTTCTGTTCCGTCTCACGATTCCTTTATCGCACAGATAGCGTGAAAGGCGGCCATTGTTTATGGGGCAAAATAATTCTCGATTGCTTGGTTTCAATTGCTTCCGTCAGAAACTTATTCGCACGATACTACAAACTGTCGCACTTACCTGGTCCGCCTGACTGATGCGACAATATCTCTTTACTTTTACCTCCTCTAGGAAACGCCCCAACTCTAAGCGAATACAGTTGTCACTGCTTATTAGGATCGCACTCATACTAACGATAACTTACCGCAGACACGGCTATATACATGATTGATGTACACTCTCTTATCGTTTTTAACGACGATACGATTAACATTAAGCCCGCGTTGGAGAAAATTCACGTTTTCCTTCGAGAAAGAAACGCGGCGGCTCGCGTGTGAGATCAAAGCGTGTGCGCGCCGCGTGTGTAGAAAAACGTAGCAGAGACGCGAAAATCGGCCGGGGTGTGGTTCAAACTGTAAAGCGAACACTAGAAAGATATAGAAGCTCCGATCTCCTGGTCCAGCGATCTCTCCGTCATGTCGATCGATCTGACGACGCATCGAAGGAAACCGAGGGACGATCTAGCGCCGTCGAAAGAGCTCTGAGTGCCAACCGTTCTTCTCGAAGGACGACCGAATCTCCTCGTGGCTCGATTAGGCCAGGTGCGATACATGGGGTCCAAGCTGCATCGCTCGAAGGCACTCCAAGCGATCGATGATCGCCGCGGCGGTAGATGCGCGTGCGAAAGACACCCGCAGTGCTGCCAGGAGAGAGTCGGAGTCCTGCACCTGAACACAGGTACCCTGAAGCCCTCCGGCGGTTGTAGAATCGGCAAGTCGTGCAGCTTCAAAGCTGCCTTCGCTCGCCACGGTCTCGAAAGCAGCGAATCGCCCGCCGTCGTCCAGCCGGCGCGATTTATCGGGCACGGCGTGGGATGGTTGATCGGACCGTCGAATCGAGACTCCGCGCTGACGTTGATTGAATTGGAACCAGACGCGTCACTGATTGTTGTCGATCCCTCCAGTTTCGTCGATTCACCAGAGAATCCCTCGACGTGTCTCTCTCCGGTCGGATGGATATGAGTCGATATATCACCGCTCCCGGACTGCTGCTTGATTCTCGACAATTCGCGATCGCAGAAGTCACTGACCGTAAGTAATTTCTCGCCCGATTTCTCGCGATCGAGCGCGTCGCGACACGTGGATCAGGAGGAGGAGTTCGCTTCTACGGTGGAGCTCGTCGAGGCGTCGTCGTCGAGAGAACTCTGCGTGGCGACGGTCACCTTGTTCCCACTGCAAGTCGCCGACGGACAATTTTGGCGGGGATGGCGTCTCTTGTAGGGCTCCCAATCCCCTGGACCCCGGCGTCAGTGCGTCGCGATCACGTCCGGGGCGCTTTTTGTGCTCTCTATGCTGAACGGCCGTCTCTGGTCCACCTCGATCACCGCCTCCGCCCGATACCTCGGGTCCATTGTCGGCTGAGGCTGCCGCTTGGTAGACGTATTGCCGGAGGAGTATTGCGACGTGCTGGACGTGGTATTACTAGAGCCGTGGCCGGATCCGTATACGGAACTACCGTATCTCTCGCCGGAGCCCACGGTGGGCTGCCGTATAAACTTGGGCGACTGTCGATAAACGCCGCTGGGCTCTCTGCTGGGCTTGGGACTTTGGAATCTCTGGTAGGACGGGTAGTCCAACTGTTCCGGGTACTGGGCAGTCTGCGGCGCGGGCAGTGGATAATTGGACTCGGTCGTCGAGGACCAGCCGGGTGGCGCCGGTATGGGATTGTGCTTCGGACAGATACCCATACTGCCGTCCCGTCCGCGGGACGCCGGGCTACAGCCGGAGCATTGAGAAATGCTCTGTTGCTGCGAGCTCTGCTGAGACAGTTGCGAGCTCGGCTGCGACGACTGCACGCTCTGATGAGACTGTTGCGGACTTTGTTGCGACTGCTGACGATGATGGTAATGATGATGATGATTGTGAAGACTGGTCCCGTTCTGAGAGCTGGGAGCGCGCACGCCAAAGGTCGTGAAACCCAGCGGCACCCCCGCGTCTGGTATCCGCGGCTCGAAAAGGCTTTCTCGGGTTTGGCAGCAATTGTCACGCATCTCCGGCTCCTCGCTGGACTCCTGCAGACGTTCCTGAGTGGCGTTGCTCACGTTATTGCTTTGGTGAATGTCGGTGATGTCGCTCGTGTTGTAAGTCATCTCGAGGACAAGGTCCTTGGTATACTCCTGAAGTATCATAGTGGTGGGTGGCATCAGTTCCTTGCTGGGCAACACTTCCAAACTGGGCGATTCGCTGCCATGATCATGTAGATCTGTTGTGGAAACCGAAATTGGACACGGCGTCGATTTTCTACCCAGTTCGTCTAAGCGATTCTCTCTGGACTGTCTTATGTGCTCCTACAAGAAAACGTAGACACGAAACGTTGCATAGTGACGAATACAAAAATCTGCATGTAAAGTTTATTAGTAAATTTAAAATATTATTTTCTTGATACGCTTAAAAAGAAACACAAACGGTTTTTCACAAAAAAATGGCTCTACTGATAAATTTTAAAAAGTGAATATAGTTTGGTCGCCCTTACTTTATTTATTGCGTAAATAAGAAGTATTTTCGCACCGTGAAATTGATAAAATCGTACTAGAATAAATTATAACTTTGTTGATCTTAAATAATCTGTGGTATCCATTGTTGTTTTCCTTTCATTCTATGCGCATTTCTGCGAGAATTGCAGAAACTGGCATTTGTTTTTCGTACACAATGTTATTTCGATTACAAATAGGCAAAATATTTTTCACGAAAATATGTCCAATTTTACAAAAGTCTGAAAGCTGAAATCCGACAGCTGAATGAGTTTATAGAAATTATTTTTAATAATTTACTTTATACAAATTTTAATTAAATAAAATAATTTATTTCATCAAATAAATAATTTCTCTATTGTTTCATTATATCTCATGTATCGCTTCGTGGCGCTGCATGCGATTTACATACATAATTATTGTTAAAAATAATTAAATTAAAGCAGAAAATAAGCTTACTCGTATAAGTAATTCAAATTTGTTATTTAAATATGATAATACAGACTTTTTGACAAGGAGTAAGTTTATTAAGGCACATTACTAATTTATTACAAATTGATGGAAAAATTACGATACAAACTTATGTTTATGAAAAATAGGACAATTTTTAAAAACGCAATTCTGAAGCTTAAAGACTTTGTTTTATTGCCAAGTTTTACGCTCCAACAAACTTAAGCCATTTCCATGTTGATCGTGCAAAATTGGCAAGAGCCTTCATAATGCGCGAAAATGAATTATTTTATCTTTGCTCCAAGTCTTCAAAGTTGAAAAATTCTACTTAGAAATATTTTATGGAAAGTAAGTAATGATTTTTTTGCCCCAAAGCGCTCTTTTAAATTATGTTCAAAATAAACCTTTCCATTCGTGACTTATACAAATGGAAATTCAGCAACGAACGTTTCGTATCATTTCAATTCAGTATATTATAATATATTACAAGTACAATAATATGTATACATATGAGAAATGTCACATTAGACTAATAACACAGAAGAAATATTTACGTGTTGGCATAATTATTATTTGGAAAAATGCAATCACTATATATAGTACATTCGTTTAAATATTACCTTTCTGCGACCTAATTAAACAAGAGCGGCATTTGATAGCTAATTGTTGTAAAACAAGCGGCCTTATTGAGGCTTTAAATATTTAAATAATTAGGCAAATGAAGACACAAGAATTAAAAAAAACGACAAAACTGAATTTTTACATTGTTTCGTGCGGACGGAAAGGAACGTTACGATCAATACTTTCATTACTTCTTTCGTCGACCTCCAATGGTGAGAAATAAAGACACCACATCGTCAAAGCAATGTCACGTCACCGAGGATCTATTGTATAAATTTTGTAAGCACACTGAAATATTGCGCGATCGTAAAAAGAAAAATGCTCCCGTCTTGACGCTGTAGGAAAACGTATTGTCGATTTTTAATAAAACTTGCAACCAAGTCTCGATCGTAATCAACAATTTTATATAAATAATACGATATGTATTTACGAAGGAGAACATCCGCGGAACAACTTTTATGAAATATTTTCTGAAATGTAGGAAACCTTCGCGTATTTCCGTAGAGACTCCGTTTTCCGACCTCTCGTTTACTGTAACTGAAGGCACGATAGAACAAAGAGGGAAAGAGAGAGAGGGAGAGAGAAAGCTCGGGATTCGTGATAGGAAAATAAAATTCACTCACCTGGATAATGCGGTGATCGCGGATGAGCTTCCGGACGCAGTTGAAGACGAAGGCAAAGCTCATGCCAAACATAATTAGAGAGAAAACGACGAGGATAATGACGATGTGCTGCGAATCGATCAACCGTATGTTGTTCTTCTGCAAATAAGGAAATTAAGCGTGCCTTCAATATCCCTGATCGTTGCTTACCATGCTAATTTAATGTTAAGTAGAAAATTGGTATATCATACGAAGCGTAAACATTTTCAATTGTCGTAAATAATTCAAAATTAATTTCAATTGTTGTAAATAATTTAAAATTAAATTGATTTCAATTAAAAAGTTCAATTAAAAATTTCAATTAAAAACGTGTGCCTGTGTATTTGCACATAATGCATATAATGAGTTGTCTCTGTACACTCTATGTAAAAATAATTAAATGTTAATTTAAGAAAAATAATTTTTTTCTGGCTTCCAATTTGTGGGACTGCATCCTCTCTTACGCCCGCGTAATTTAATTTTAATATGCTGCATACGCAGAAAATAGAGTTGTAGCAATTACATTGTTTGTAACATGCGCGTTTATACGATAATATGATATTCCATCGATGCGTTGAACAATTATTAATACTTCATAATCCACAGCGTGGTTGCAACCATTAATTAAGGCGCTCGAGTCAAATAAAATATCGGGAGAAATGGGCCGGGGCAGTGTTAATTATCGTTTCGTTCTAGCTCGAGCTTTTCCATCTAGTTTACAGACGCAAGCACTTCCCGACAATGGCGCCTGAAGACTCGCTCGGATTCGTCGGTGCACCTCGACATCGTGGCACGACGTTCACCCTCTTGTCACCGTCGTTCTACCCCGTTTTCAACATTTATCGGCTACAGAGGTGTCGCGCTAAATGCCTTCGTGAAATTTCAGGAGAGCGTTACACATTACGCAGGAAGGGTTCAAGCGCAAAGGAGAAACTTGCGAAACATCGCGGCACATAGAATGCATGAAGCAAGTAGGATCGACGCGATCCATCTTCGTCCCTGTCTCTCCTCGCTCCTGTCTCTTGCGTACCGTCCTTTGTCTCGTAGAATGGCGACGCCGCCGCGGATTTTGCCTGTTTGCTCCTCGTTTACTTAAGTGGTTGTAGCGTGAGAGTAACTCGTTGAAATGCTACTTTATATCGCGTTTGTTGTAGTTTAAGCATAAAGTGTTTGCTACTCAGCACATTTGGAATGGACAAAGTGATTTTGCTTGGCAATTAAAGTGCGAAATAATCGTTTTAATAATTTTTCAACAACAATTCTATCGTGGTATAATGTGAAGTTTTCCGGAAGAGATATACGTATATTATACGAGATTATAGCTATAGTTACTTTTTTCCATTTAATTCTTTCCAGCATTTTCTATAACGTCTTAATACGTGCTTTTGTTTCAAACTTCCAGAATTTAGTCTTTTCGCATTTAACCGATTCTTGCGTTCTGCATCAAACGTATTTCTTGAGATTGAATCGCTTAGCTGAAATAGCAACTTTGTCTTGCGCAAAACGTTGCGAATTTGCATACTTGCGCAAGTAGTGCCGTAATTAAATGATCAAGTGCGCTCTAGATGGTGAAGACTTCGGCTAAGTACAAGATGGATTAAGATCACGAACTTTGTAATCGCTCGTATGATTCTCGTGTGAATTCGTTTGCTCCAAGAATATATATACATATCCCAATTTTTCCTTCTCTTGACTAATTAAATAACTATTACTTTAAGAAACAATTAGCTTAAAATTGGACTATGAGTAGTTTTAGAAATTTGATGTCAAAAACATGTATTTAATTTGTTTACCAATTGTACGAAGATACTATAAGTAATCCAAACTATTCATAGTAGGAAGTGCATTTGGTAAGTTCATGCTGACCGAGAAACTTTACATGTGGAAGGTCCTGCGAATGCGCATTACGCGATACATTGTACGCGAGTCACGTTATATATTCAATGCTTACACAGTAATAACTAATTTCAGCAGACCAGTCTTGCACTCTACTGTGACACAAAGTAACGTTTGCCCACATTATTGCTACTCGCGGATCCGGCTCGGAATGCACCATTAAACTATGGAGTAATTTATATCGACGTCACATGTTGTCCGTGTTCATCTGTGTTCGCTTACATGTTAGTTCAAAGAGATGCCGTTCCCCTTTCTTCCGTCTGGGTATATATCTCCGTGTCCCGGTGGTCGCGCTATAATTTCCCAGCGTTTATCTTTCGTGCGCTACCCAAGTTGAATTCGTTGCTCCGACAGCGAGAACATGTCCACTTAAATCCAAAATGCTTAACGCGACGGAAAATCAGCTTGTACGGACGTAGAATAAGTACGACATAAAATTGAAATATATTATTTTCGCGATACTTGTTTGCATTGATATTTGCTAACGTATAAGTGTTTAATATTTTCTTTTATACATTAATGTAAACACATAAAATTATTTATTAAAATTTATGTCTCTCTCTATTTTAATTGTACTCGCGTAGTTTCCTTATAACGTAAACACTCGCATGGGAGGTGTATTTTACGCCCAAATATTGGATTTCAATTTTTATTATTCTCTTTCAGGATTTACAATTAAATGTTGATAATATTTTACATATCTCTCAAAGGAAGATAAGCGCAATTTTTTTTCTTTAATTACGAAACAATTTGTGCAATTAACGGGACTAAACAAATGTTTATTCTGTAAATTTAGTACATTTTTAAGACTCGGGTATATTTTACACTTCACGTGGATAACGTTAGAGTTAAATATGTATACACTTACAATTGGAGAAGAATCTACTAGAATTACGTAAACATGGTAACGAGAAATTTAATGATATGAAAGCTGAAATAAAACAATGCGATGACTCGAAAATAAATACGTGAGCAATAGCATTAGTACCTATATCGCTGTAATTTGACTACACTCTACAGTGCATTCCACGCGCATCCATCGATTACATTTTTATCAGGAGGAGAAATTTTTTTTTATCCCTTCAGTTGAACGTCACATCGCGCGAAAAATGCGTCGGCAAATTGGCCGACGACAAGAGGAAGCAACGCGACGTGCTGAAGTCACAAATCGTCGGATAAATTCTACCGCCGAGCAATTACGAGGATCGCGCGAATATTAAGTCCCCCTTTTCGTCATGTATGCCGGAATAAGCTATTATAACACCCATCTCGGAATTTTTCGGCGTTATTTCCGAATCGCTTTCATATCTTCCTTCTTTCTTCTTTTTCACACAGACACCCTCGCCCCCCCCCTCTCTCTCTCACTCTTTTAAAGGAAGAATTAAGCTCTAAAGTCGTGATATCGTTCCGTATGCGGGTGTACGAGCAGGCGGCCAAGGGAGAAACACGGGAAGAGAGATTGCACAAGTGGATGCTTCCTTCTGCTTCCGTGAGTCAGAGTGGTTTATTGTTATGCTCATACGCCCGGAATCATTGCACGTTTTCGTGAATGCGCTGCTCTACACGTCGCTCTTGCATTGGAGAACCCACTACTGCGCTCAACTGACACCTTTCGTCGGCTTCACCGGCGGGAAACTGTACGACAAACGGTGCGGACCGTCAGAAGTGCTGGGCGTTATTTTCGATCGCCACATCATTGCACGAATATTAAGGTAATTAGTGAGGAATTTAAGAATGCCTTTGAGAGTTCGCGAAGCTTTCTAAGTAATTAAATTGATCATTTATTTTAATTGAACCATCGTGCAATTATATATTAAACATTTTTTTTATTATTTTATTAACTTTTTATTTATAGTATTATACACAAATATATTCAGAATGTTGGAACACACCTCGATACAGACAATTTTTTTTGAAAATTTGAAGTCCACTTTCCTCTTAAAAAGTTTTCTTGCACATAATTGATAAAATAAGAATAAAGTTTACGTACAATTAGACAGAATTGTTTATACAATAAAATGCAAGATTAATTGTGAAAAATATGAATTTATTATTTGTGCGTTAGTTACTATTAAACGCGATTCGCAAAAAATATTCCCAAAAATACCTTGTTTTTCTGCCTACATTCGATTCCATTATGTAACCGATATTGGCCATCGTTCAAAGTGCATAAAACGACTGTCCAAATTTATGGTGATTGGTGAACGATACCATCCGAGTTTGAATTCGAAATATGTATGTTCCATTTTATCCCCCCGATTCCCAATCTTGCAAATTTACTAGCATATACCATTTTTGTAAATGTCAGTGTGGCAGATTAAAAAAAAAACTCTGTCGTGACACGCGACACATTGCCATCCTATTAAAATATGCCATCTTGCATGTTCCCCGCCTAATACAGCGTGATGCAAAAATTGGTACAAAGTGACATATCAGTTTATCGACGGATTTTCGCGTGTTTTTACGGAGGAAAATTTGTACTATTCTAGCAATAGAAATTCTTGACCACGTCCGTGAACGACGTACTACGAGCGCGTACTACGAGCTACCGGAAAGCTGAAGGTACGGGAGCTATTTTAAATATTTCCGCTATTTATGGCGACGTATTCGATGTCCGTAAATGCCAGCATTCACTCCGTAAATTCCGGTCGCAGGATGTTGCTTTGAATTATTAACATATGAATTAACAGCTTTCGAAAAAGCTTATTACGTATATTTGCAATAGCAAAGGTTTTTACGGAAATTTCTTGTACGCATTTCTATAGCAGACATAAATATTGTATAATACATATCTCACAGTATTGATAACAGTCATCAGCTTATGATGACTACCCTTGGCAAAATTTTCTTTAAATAAACTTAAAGTTTTTAAAAGTAATCTTTCAAATCTAAGAGTTTACTCTTAAATCCACACAGCACAGAAAATTAAAATAATGTTGCTGAAACGTTGCAATTTTGAATGTTGAAGTATAAATATCTTTTCTACGTTGAATCTAGGTTAATGTTTGTACATTAATTCTTTATACTGCTGCAACGTTAAAACAATTTTGAACAAATTTTTTTACATTGAAATAGATACTTAAAAAATGTATAATTATAAAATGTATATGTATATGTATATAATATTTTTGCAACGTTCAGAAATTTTCTGAGCTAAGATTGGATTATCATTTTGATGGAATAATTCAATTTCAGCACTTCCAGCAGTTGTAAAAAATATTCTG